TTGGGGCTCTCCGCGCCCCCCGGGGCGGCCGCGGCGGGGTGGGGGGGGGGCGACTCTACAGGGTCATCCGCCCGGCCGCCCCCCCCCTGCCTTCGGGGGCCTCTCCTCCTCCCTTCCGCTCCTCTTCCAGGGGCCGGGAGGGAGCCCGTCGGGGGAGGCTGCTGCTCCTGCCCGGCCGCGGCCGCCGGCCCCCGCAAGAGGAAGCGGACCACCTTCAGCCGGGGCCAGCTGAGCGAGCTGGAGCGGGTCTTCGCCGCCCTGCCCTACCCGGACATCGGCACCCGCGAGCGCCTGGCCCAACTCACCCAGCTGCCCGAGGCCAAAATCCAGGTGAGGTTCCTCCTCCCTCCCTCCGTCCCACCCCCCGCTCCCGCCGGGTGGGGGGGGGACCCTCCGCCTTGGAAAGGAGGCGCCGCCGGGGGCCCCCTCCTTGCTCCCCAGCCGGGCCTCCGAGCTCACGCCGGCCCGCTTCCTCTCCCAGGTCTGGTTCCAGAACCGCCGCGCTCGCAGGATCAAAAGCAGCAGCAGCAGCGGCGGCGGTGGCAGCCACGGGAGCGCAGCGGCCCGACGGGTCTCCGCCGTCTCCAAGCCACCCCGCCCTGTGCCCCCGGCGCCTCCTTCTCCTGGCATCCGAGCCTCCGTTCCCTCCGGCCGGGAAGAATCTCCGGAGCCTCCCCATCGCTGGCCAGCGGGCTCCCTCCAGGAGGGGGAAGCCGGGGACCCAGAGGCCGGGGTGGCGGTGGCGGCGACCACCAGGGCCTGGACGGCGCTCTCGGACTGCTGGGAGGCCCTCCCGGCTGCCGCTCCCACCTCGCTGGGATCCATCTCGGAACTCATCTACAGCGCCGCCCTGGTGGCCAACCTGGGGGAGGTGTAAGAACGACCCCTAAAGAAAAGCTTGGCGCGGGGGGGGCGGAGCTTGGGAAAGGGGCCCAGGCTTACCTGGGATGGGTCCAGAAGCAGGTGAGGGGCAGTACACGGCACTCCCTTTTGGGAAGACCACTACCCACCAGCTTCCTTTTTCCTCTTCCCTCCTCCTCCTCCTTTCCTTTTGTGTTGTGACTCCTTCAAATAGTTTTCCTTCCCTTGATTGGGTATACACTGTTCGGGGTGGTGTATTTTGGGCCATATGGAACCCCTTTATCGGGAAGCAGTCTATCCGCACATCCCAGTTGTTCAGGAACCGGCCTGGGTAAGAGCTTGTGGATGGGTGTGTGTGTGGAATTCCTGAAATTGTCCCCACTACCCAAAACAAATAACTCTCCTAAACTCTGTTGAGGAGCACCGTATCCCTTCCACAAGCCTCATAACACAAATCCTCGATGTTATTAATCTCCTGTAAAAAGAGAGAAGCATCTCCTCTCCTGACTAAGGATTAAATGACCACAGCCCCCCCCCCCACACACACCCACGCTCGCACCACACACCTTGGTCCGATTAATCTGCAGGTTTTTCTCTTCTGTCCACCCCCCTCTCTTGTAACTCCAATAAAAGTCCTGTTTTGTGATACCCCACGAGCTTAGCCTGATCATTTTCATTCCTGAGTTGTGTCCAGCAGAGGCAGAATAAATGAGAGGGTGAAAGCAGGGGGGGGGGGCGGACGGTCAGGCCCTACAATCGCTGATAATGCCTCCTAATCTGTCCTGAGCAAAAAGGGAAAAAAAAACACCTTAATCTCTGTGTCAATTGTGGGATGATTGAGATGCATCACCTAATCCTGTGGCTGCAGGTCCCGGTCCCCCCACCCCGGCTAGCCTCCTGCCCCCTCTTGGAGGATTTGCTTGAATCCATGATATTAATATTGCTGTGCGCATCCTGGACAGGGGACTTAGCAGCCATCAGAACATTAATCAGGGGCTGGGGAGAGGCCCTGGATCGGTGCCCGCGGCTTACCTCCCCCTCCAGGCAGGGGAATGGATCCGGCAGTTGCCACGATTACCTCTTGAGAAACCAGCATTTGGCCCGAGCCTGGCATCCTGTGGGGGCTCTGAGGAGGGGGGTGCCAGACTTTCCCAGGGTCCAGTCAAAGAAGAGTCCAGGGAGTGCCTTAATTAAACCAAAACCCTTGGGTGTCCCCCTAGCCAATATTCCCAACTCTTGACTGGCAGCCACGGCTCGCGAGGCTTCAGGCTTCCTCCCTCCCCATTCCAGGTATTCCCTGGTTATCGCTCATCCGACTTCCAGCCAGGCCTGACTCTACTTAGCTTCCAGAACCAGCCAAGGGCACGTACGTTCGGGGGGGGGGCAACAAGGGCTAGATGGGGTGGGGCTCCTGGCCCAGGAGACAAGTTTAGACGGCAGCGGCTGACTTCCAAGTGATCTCTAAAGAGTATCTTACTCCCACTATTCGTTTGCAAACAGAAAATAAAATTCTGAAAACAGATGCAGGGACATCAGCTTCAAGCCGCTGACTTCTCTCTCAGCCTCAGGGATCCCCACCTGTGAAATGGGGGGGGACAATCCTCAATTGCTTTCCGCCCTTGGGATGTTTTACAGACTGTTTTGTGATGCACAACCAGCATCTCAAGGCGCCTGAAGTTATGTTTGGGGTTTGATGCTCAGAGACCGGGGAAACTGCTAGGAGGAGAGGGGACTGAATTGGAAGATGTACAAATGGCAGTACAGTAATTGCCTTATAACAGCCGCCGGATTGCGACACGAACATCGTTGCATGGGTAAGTGGATTAACAGACCCAGTGTGATAAAATACCCTTATCCCAATACAAGCCACAAGAGAGAGAGTTGAATTAATTGGATTTACTTCAGAGAAAATACATGGAGGGTGGAAGGGCTAATGTGGGCTATGCCATTATTTTGTTTCCTGACATCTGAGCCCTCCAAACAAGCTCGCCATGTGGTCGTTTCACAAACGCACGTTTCCCCTTTCTGTCGTCCCCCTGCCCCAATTTCTGTTTTGAGGGTGTTCCCAACATGTGGTAGTGGGGATGATGACCTACCGGTGCTCCTTACATCTGGGGGGGGGGCAGGGAGGGAGAATATTCCCCTGTCAGGATCGGACCGCTTACTGCACATAGTAGGGAAGCGGTTTTTCTACCTGCAATCCAACGAGGAGGAGACAAGCCGGCTGGCACAGCTGAATGATTCAGAAAACCAGAAGAAGCAGGTTTTTACAGCTGGTGGGGGTGGGCAGGATTCTGCACCATAGGTAAACTGCAGGCTCTTGACCGTGCAAGTGAGACCCTTCAAGATGAAGGTTGTTTCTTGGGGACGCCAAAAAGAGGCTCCAGGCACAGCCGGGTGATGAAAATGCCCAGCCCACCCTAGAGGGAGCAAGGAGTGACCTAAAAACATCGTGTCGGAAAGGGAGATGCGCTTTTTGTCCACATATCTGTCCTTTTTCAGCTTCCACGGCTGCAGGGAAATCCATGTGGAGACAAAGTCAGGAAGAAAAAGAAGACAAGACAGGATCCGTGGGAGTCGAAAGGAAGGGAAGGGAAGGGGTGCTTCTTTTCTGAAACATCTGAGGCCACGCCATGCCTTCTGCAGAACAGTCTTAGAGGAGGAGAGAGGTTTGTTTGTCCACCATAACCGATGGCTGCAGGGTAGAAGGAGCTCCCTTTTTCCTTGACGGCTCTTCTTGGAAGTCGGGGTGTGTGGTGGTCCCTGGGTGCAGATCCCACTTTCCGGAGGGGCAAGTGGGAGGGGAAAACAAAACAGGTGGAGAAAGACTTCTGCAACCCCAAGCGGGGGAAGCCTCCTCGGCTAGGGCTCCCCCAGGTCCCCTTCCAGGGCCCGCACCATCACGTACAGCTCTGCCAAACCCACCACCGAGGCCACGATGACAGCAGACAAGATGCGCTGGAAGGAGCAAAAGAGGCAAGATGGCGTTCACAAGAGGGGATCTCGAGGAGAAGGGCTTTGAATCCATTGGCCTTCCTTTCTTCAGCTTTAAAACATAATATGTTACACTTTTCTAACCTTAATCTTTTTTAAAAAAAAACAACCCATTTCATTATTAGCTACGTTGAGCCTCATTTTGGGGAAGAAAAGGCAGAGCAGAAATCTAAAAAAAATGAAGTCGTTTAAAGAAAGGGGAAAGCGAGACAGTTCTCTGCCCTCAGCGACTGGCTGGCAAAGTTACAGCAGAAACCCCCCCCCCCCCGCAAATCCTGTGGCCTTGCTCTTTGGTGCAGGAAGCAGGAAAGAGACGGGGGGCGGGAGCAGCGCCGTGGATCTCTGCATTTCTCAAAAAAGCAGGAGCTGCAATTTGAGCTGATCTGCATGATAATTTTTCTGTGCCTTCCATTGCCCCCTAATGCAAACATGCATCGCTGCTGGCCCCGTCCATGTGTTGCAGAAGGAGCAAACTTTGCCGGTCGGTCGAAAGAACCGGCAAGCTTTAAAAGTCCAGATTGGGTGGGAGCGGGCGCCGGAGCCACCAGGCATCGCCCTCCCTCCCTCCCGTTCCCAGTGGCACTCACCGCCGCCATTTCTGTGAAGACATACTGGCTGCCCAAATACGTACAGACGAAAGTGGCTCCTACGGTGATGATAAAGTTGATTATGTTGACCAGGAGGGCTTTGGTGGACCTGACTGTGCAAAGGGAGAGAGGGCACGGTCCGTGACTTTTGAGCACAGAGAAGTTACTTCTTTTTTTTACATGACAGCACCTGGAATCTCCCAGCCAGCAAATGCAGGATGGTTCTGGAAATGGCCCCGAAAAGGAACCTCCACAAAGTTCTGTTTCTTATACTGGAATCGGTGGGCCCGGCAAAAGCTTAGGTACCTGGGAAAACTGCCTGTGAGTTTCCAACCAATGACCGGGGGGGGGGGGTGGGAGGAGGGTCCCTTCTCACTTTCTCATCAGAGTTCTATCCTTCTGTTACAGCACTCTGGCTCACCCTAGGGCTGACCCACCTCGCTGCCCTTCTGGATGCTGTAGTTTGTGGAAATGCCAGAAAACAGAAAAAGCCCAGGGCCCCTTTTCCCACCCAGGCTCTTTCCTGGCACCATTTCACATTTCTATAATGTGGAACAAAGTGTGGGGCTTGATTTCGCAAACTCTGCTCTTAAAGGACGCCCTCGGTGCCCTACAAAAGCCTACTCACAGGCCACCCGTACGTCTTGCTGCTTTGATTCACCAAACGGAGCTCTCTGAACCATGGATGGGGAGGAGTTAAAATCCAGCCCAGAGAACAGGCTGACGTTCGTCTTAATTCCAGCACCCATTTTCCTGGCTGCGGATGATGGGCTACCTGGCTGTCCTCTTACCGCAAGCAAAACCTACCTTGTCTTCCAAGATCAGCCAAAGTCCCATATCGGTTCAGTTCCTATAAGGAGAAAGGGAAGTGACCTGGTTGTTTCTCTGAAGGCTTCCTTCTGCTTTCCTTGCCGCCTAACTCACTCTTCCCTTTTCTTGGCCACTGCATTTGAGGCTTACAAAAAAGGGTTTTTCCTCTGCCCACCTCCAAGACGAAGGAGACTGAAGCTTGAATCCAGCCCACTACAAGTGGGTGTCGTATTGCCAGGGTCCAGGAAGTGGTCCTGGCTCCTTATTTCCTCCCCAAAGCTAAGTATGTTCTCCTGCATGGCCTGCATACGTTTTATTTCCTAGCCCTTCTCTTGTGGCTTTTCAGCTCCACCCTAGCCTGCAGCCACCTTTGCCATGCGATACTCGAAAGCAGAATCAGATAACTTGGCTGTTCGTCTCCCCTTCAAACCTCATACCATCTTTGCCTACAGAAACGTTTTGGAGAACTGAATGGCTTGCTTTGCCACTTTTTAAAGTGACCTGAGAAAAGCACAGCTGTTTACCTAAACAGCTTACTATACTGCTCAGAGATGCCTTAATGTTACATCTTCCAATTACCTGGCAGGTGATGTTTCTCGTTATCTGCTTGTACTCTTCGTTGGCTAGTCTAGCCTTGATCTTTTCCAGCCTGGCCACTAATTCTGGATTCTGAAAGAGGAAAACAAAGCACAGATTGAAGACGAGAGGCAGAGTTGTGAGGTGCTTACCCCCACCCCCAACTTGCCCTGTACAAAGTTTTCAAGGATACCTTGACCCACTAATTAGAGGCAAGCAGCTCTTTTCCCACTGACTGCCGAGTTCCCTTCCACCTCAGAAGAGCAACAGCAGTGCCTGATACAAACCCTGGGAGGTTTTTTCACTTCCGGAAGGAAGATTTCACTGCCTTCCAGTAGTTCATGAAGGTACATTTCAGAACCTAAGAGCCAAAAAAGAGAGAATGGGGGTCTAAAAAGAATTGAAGACAGGAGAGGTTGGGCTGCTTTCTTACACCAGTTTAGGCAAGATTCATCTCTCTCAAGGAATGCTGTCTGTTCCAAAGACTAACCCAACATTCCTCAACACAGGGCCCCCCAGAGGTACTGCATCACAGCCTTGTTTATTTATGTGCCACTTTTCTCCCTGTAGTTCCACAAACCTTTACCTAATCTAATTCCCCAGAAGCATCTCTCTTTCATGAAAAAATGAGGTACAACCCCCATGGAACCATTCTGCACAAGCCCACGAGAACAACATGTCTTCTTGAAAAAATCAGGAAAGTATGAAAACCTGAGGGCTTGACTCTACCATCGGCTTCTAAGAACCGATTTTTAAGGTCCCCCACATGACAAATTAAACTAAGCTGCCAAAATCTCTGCATGTTGTTTCTGCAGGGCTGCCTTTCACATGATGGGGGCCCTGCAGACACGCTGGAATATCAACTCCCAGCATCCCAGGTATGAGAGAGGTAGCCTGAAAGAGCTGCAGGGAGCCAGACAGGGGAAGGCTCCTCTACCCAAGCTGTGTCAGTGTCCAGAAAAGTGCTTGGGGGCGCCCACGCATCTGATTTTAGGAAGCAGAGTCCTCCTTTAGAAGCAGTCCTTCCCCTTTTGAGAGGCTCCCCAGCCCAAGTCTGGTTTTGGGGTGGGGGGAACCCAGAGGAGGGCAGAGAGAAGGGGCCTTGTCCATCATCTACTGCAGGCAGCATCAGCGCAGCTGACTCAGCACCACGTACAGCTTGCCCCCCCCCCAATACACTGCAATAATTTCAGTTTTACTTGTAAAATTCTTCTCCCTTTTTCATCTGGGCATCCAAATTAGAAACGTTGTTAAACAGCATTGTTTACTTTACACATTGTTTTTAACTTCAAATACGATCTTCCAACATCGTAAGCTGCTTTTGGATCCTTTTGAAGCAGAAAGGCGGGGCAAAAACATTTTAAAGAAATAAATAATAAATCAACGTTTGGGGGGGCACCTGCAAGGAGAGGCTAGCGGGGGGGGGGTTCCAAAAAAAGCAACTTCTCCAAATAGCCCAGGAGAGCAGCTCGTGGAGCAAGCTTTCAAGAGTCTGTCGAGGGGAAATGCTGCGGAGATGCAATGAGGGGAGGGGAAAGGAGAAATATTGAGGGGTCAAGGGTGTAGGTCAAGGGTCACGATCCCAGAGGTCAAGTTTTGCCTTTTCTCCTCACCGGCCTCTCGCAGGGCGCGGTGGAGCCTCCGGACGAGCGCGAAGGGCAGCCGAGGGTCGCTCTCGGCCAGGGCCGCCTCCAGCTCGCCCCGTAGCTCCTCCGGCAGCTCCGAGCCCGACAGGAGGCGGCGTAGGGGCTCTCCGGGCCGCAGGGAGGACGCCATCTTGGACGCGCGGGTCATGTGACTCCCCAATAGGTCACGCCACCAAAAGAGGGAACCGGACAGGGCGGGGAAAAGAGGAGGAGGAGCTGACGAGGGGAAGGCGGGACCGCAGAGACAAGAAAATGGTAGAGAGTGCACCTGCAAAGACCTTCCGGGTTCACTTATTTCATATACTGTATTCTTTTTTTCCCTCTGGACTCTGGAATTGTTGTTGAGTCGTTCAGTCGCGTCCGACTCTTCGTGACCCCCCATCGATCAGAGCTCGCCAGGCCCTCCGGTCTTCCACGGCCTCCCGGAGATGGGTCAGAGTCATGCTGGTCACTTCGATGACCCTCTCCAGCCACCTCCTCCTCCTCCTCCTCTTGCCTCAACATCAGGGCCTTTTCCAAGGAACAATGGAGTTAGAGGGAATTAACAAAAGGGCCGCCGAGAGGTCCAATTCCCCTGACTTTGTGGGGGAGGGGGCCTCGTGGCTGCCGGGGCTTCTCAA